ATGAGATCTAGGGCTCTGGTCGTGATCTTTCGCGATGTCGCATTTTCTGGCAACGTCAGATCTAAGGGGGACATGCTCGCGTCGGGACAAGAAAGCAGGATGGAGTTTTTCTTGACAAGTTTCGGCTGCAGGGGGCCATTGCTGGGCCCCAGACCGTAAGAGAACTGCTCAGTCCCGGGGAATCGGTCCACATTTCTGAGGGTCCACGTTGTGAACAAATCACGCCGTCAGAGATGGGTTCCAGGCCTCCCAAATCGGGTCAGAGAAAATGGGTCGGAGGATCATGCCGTCGCCGAGGCATCGCCGACGCGGCTCGATGTGGAACCGGATTTTCTTCACGCCGACGGCGGCGATGCATCGCAGACGTCGCCGACGTCGCCAATGCATCGTCCATGCACCAGCCGTGCATCGGCGATGCCGCGCGACTCTTCGACCCCCATCTGCGCGGACACAAACGGGGAGGCCTCCAATGGAGGCAGGGGCTCTCGAGGGCAGCGGGCCCCTGGCGGGCCGCGGCCTAGCAACGGCAAGGGCGAGGCTTTGGCGGGAAGGCCCAGGAGGAGGATGAGGACGAGGAGGAGGAGGAGAAGGGAGGAGGAGGAGGAGCAGGCGGAGGAGGAGGGAGGCAGGTGGAAGCGCAGGAGGAGGAGGAGGAGGAGGAGGAGGAGGAGGAGGAGGAGGAGGAGAAGGAGGAGGGAGGAGGAGCAGGAGGAGGAGGAGGAGGAAGAGGAGGAGGTCCCACAGGGCCCACGGGGCTCGTTTTCGGCCCAGCCCCCCGTTTCCGCGCGACGCACCAGTCTTTCGGCCCGGCCCCCGCTCCGCCCGCGCAACCGCGGCGTGAGATAAGCCGGCGGGTCTGCGGCACGGTGGCCGCGGCAGGGCGTACTATTAGCCCATCGTTCGGTCGGTTCGACGCGGCCCCCTCGACGGCATGATCGCCTAGATCAGCCCGGCTGAGCCTCTCGACGTCGGGTGCTGTGCTTTTGTCCATTCCCAGCGTTTTTTTGGGGGGCAGATCATGGACAGCTGAGCAATCAAGTTGTCGGATGTCCGGGAGCGCACGTCGTTTGAGGGAGGGTCGGAGAGGACGACGGGGCAGGGTTAGGGCAAGGCATAGGCTAACATTTGGTGCCTCCATCTGATTCTGGCCCCGCCGCTGGACATAGTGTGGGATGCATGGTCGCTCATGGTGCCTCCAGGCTGCCGAAAAAGCAGCTGCACTACATGCAGCCGATTCGATGACCCCCCCTTCGCTAACAACCCCCCTTTCCCATATCTCTGGCGTCGTGGCTTCCGCGGACCCCTCAGTTCTGGGCTGGACCTTGTCCCCAGGACCGGTTTCTCACCCCGAGCCATTCTTCAAGCGGTCCTGGGGCTCAGCAAGCGCCCCAGGGCGCCAATTTTCTGCTGTGGTTATTGTTTTACTGCGCGAGGTATTCTGCCAGTCTGCTGGATGGTTGCAGTTCCTTTTCCCGCGAAGGCATCCCAGAAGTTCCTTCCGAAGGTCTGATTTCCGCCAACCCCAGTAGGACTGTTTCGGGCCTGCGGAGGCATGTCTACAGAGGTTCTCAGGGACTCGGAGGGGCTGTGGCGGAGACTGGCAGTGAGACCTCTGGGGGGGCGAAGCTTCGCGACCTGGGCAGACTCGTGCCGGAGGTTTGTAATTTTCTGCCTGCGGGGACCATCTCCCAGAAGCCTGGGGACCTCCAGGAAAGCGTCCCGGCATGAGAAGAGTTGTTCCAGAGAACAGATCTGGAGTTCCAGTTAGGTCGGGGCCAGCGGCTCAAATATTCACGCCGTCGAGAGTTTGGGGGCTCGCCAGAGGGGCCATGACTCCATCGGATTGATCAAAACTGGACGAAGGGCGGCAAGGGTTCTTCAGGTTTGGGCCTCCGGAGACTGTCGAGGCCCTGGGGACTGCGGGGCGAAGTCCGTGACAGTGGGTCGAGGCGTCTTGTGTGGCAGTGACTGGAAAAGAAAACGCGTTTTCGGAGATCTGATAAACAAAACGCGGAGGCAGCAAACGCAGGTATTAGAAGGTGAGAGGTTTCGGGGGTAGGGGAGGAGAAGTCGGAGCAGGAGGTGGAGGAGGTGAAGGAGGGGAAAGATCAGGGGAAGGAGAAGCAGCATCGGCAGTGATATCAAAAAATAAGAGGGAGACGGAGAAGGGGCAGGACGAGGAAAGGCAACAGGAGCAGACGAAGTAGGAGGGGGTCACCAAACCAGACTTGTCACTGTGGAACAAACTGCCCAAAGCTGATCCGACATGTCAGGCTCTAAACGACTGTGCGAATCATCTCGGCGGTCTTGCGTTCCTCCTGTTAGGTATCGAAGGCGCCCGCTCCAGGGGCATCGAGGGATTTCATGCAGGTTGGGCGCGTATGGAAGTTCCCATGCCGTCTTGGATATTCGTGTGTGTGTGTGCTTGGCAAGCCCTCTCAGAACACGACCAAGGCCCCCGGACAACCAGGACAGCCTCTTGGTATTCGGCCTGGGCGCCCGGGAACCATTGTTGCGGTGCGAAGTTCTTTATACGTCGGAAATATGGGGATAGAGCAAGGGGCAGCCAAACGACCTCACGTGGATTCGTACGGCCCAAGACACCATCACGTGGTCAAGTCTGGAGCACCACTACACCAACACGTGAACGAGCTTCACGCCGACATCGTCGTCGAGGACCTTAACCCTCCCTCCCTCCCTCACCCTCCCACACAGACACGCACAAGCATGCCGAGCTCCGCGCCGACACCGACTCCAAGGTCCTCTCCCCCCTCCCTCCTCTATGAACTGTCTACGCATCTCGCATTGCATGTCGTTCAGACACGCCAGATTCCTGAGGCCACGGCCTCGCCCACCTCGTCTGAGCTAGGCCCGCACGGCGTCCGCAGCGGCGGCCGCATCGCATCGCATCGCACGGAGTTCGAGCACGGCTCTCTGCCACCCCAAGAGTGCACAACCGAGACCAGGAAGCTACACGATTACCCCCCTTCCCCCCATCACTCGTCCACGGCGACCGGCGGCGGACTTCCGTCACCTGGGGCCTGCGAGTAGGCGCCAGCATCCCGCCCAATCGGGTTCTTTGCCTTTGTGTTGAATCATCGGGTAGCACGGGCTTCGTCTCATCAGTTAACCTCGCCGGCCTTGGGAGACTTCCGCTCAACGCTCCATGCTCTTCTGGGGACCGCGTGAGCCAACGAACGGGCGTACTGGCGAGACGAGCAGCCCCGACCCTGCCTCGACGGCTCGCTGCCCAGACCTCCTGTGAAAAGGGCCCGCCGAATCTGCCATGGATCCGAGACCCCTGGCGCCGTGAGCTTGCCACAACTTAGACTTAAGTCGGGCCTTTTCTACAGGAAGAATATCCAACAATGGTCACAAATATTCGGGGGATGATTTCTTGATCATTTTTGTTTGGCTATTGTGATTATATGTTTGAAATATTTGAATTTTTTCGTCCAACATCTCCCTGTAGGGGGGCGTGCCCGACCTAAACTTAGACCTTCAGACGATCCCGACCGACTTGAGGTCCCGCTGCGACGGAGGGCGGGAGCGCGACACCGCCGCGGGCGGGCCCCCTCCTGCAAGGATTGTAAGTCGGGCACGTCCCCCTACAGGAGGAGCAGTCAAAAACAGTCAAAGCATACTCCCCAGACCACCTCGAGTCATGAAAAGATCACGACGGGAGGTTTTTCACTACTGTCGGCCTCCGGGGGCCCGTACCCGGCCCTCAGGACCGTCAACAGAAATACTCGGGCAGAAAAACCGGTCCCAGGGAATGGGTCCGGACCTCTGGGGGTCGCGTCATGAAAAATCATGGCGTTGGGGGTCTTGGTCTGGGCATGATTTTCTGACAAATGTTGTTTATGCTTGATTTTGTGTTGTGTTGCTATTTTGCATGGTTCTTCCACAATCCGCCCGGAGAAGGACATGCCCGACCTAATGCAAGGAGGTCCGCGATGCATCCTCCCCGATGTGGTGGAGACTGGAGATGCCTCGAGCGGCGAAGCGACGCAGCAGGGGGGGGCACACCACCCGGAGCACGGCAGGCTCGCCTCGTGTCGACCGACGGCGACCCCGCTGCCAGCTTTCGGGGCCAAAGGGACGGGGGTCAATGCAAGCGGGGGTCAGCCCGGGCGCCAGATCTTGCAGGATTCTGCAGAGCCAGGGTCGCATCGACCCGGGCTTGGGTGCAAGATCCTGCAGGATCTTGCAGTATCATGCAGGATCCTGCAGAGCCCGACTGACTAGGGTGTGGATTGACCCAGGCCAATAGACCCCTGAAGCGTTCAGCGTTGCGCGCCGCCGCCGACCCAGAATCGGTCGAGATTGAAAGATCTGACGTCTCAGAAACGGCTGGTCGTTCAAGGCTGAAGGATCCCCGCGGTGTCAGAGATCAACGTCGAAGTCGGCACGTCACGCTGCCGTACCCCCCTGCTCCTTGCGACCGTAGAGGTGGTACCGATCCCCTGGTCTCGTGAGTTAGCGAGCAGAAACAAAAAAACAATATCAATGACACGCCGCCTTGGAGAACCCGTCGGCGTGTCACAGTTGGACCGACGTATAAGATCGGGGTCGGTTCGGGGAGGGTGCCCAGGATGGTACCCTCCATCTTGCGCGCAGGATCTCCTGCGCGAGGATGGTGCCAGGGTGTTCTTCGTGCGCGCAGGATCTCCTTGTGAATCTTGGGGAGGGTGCCCTCGGCTGTTCCGTGCGTGTTGGGCGGCGGAGGGCCTCATTTTCTTGAGGGATTCTCTTCTGGCCTGGGTCCGACTGCACGGCTATCAGGAACACACACATTCGGCCTCTGGACAACAAGAGCGAAGGCGTGACGCGCCGACTGGTCTCCCAACGGATGCGTGCCACTGCCGCTCGTTTCCCCTCCTCCTGATGGTTGAGGCCAGCTCCGGGAACCCTGAACGCAAACATGTTTGCGTCGAAGCGCGGCATAGGCAGCGCGCACGCGCGCTCGAGCGGTGCCGGCGACGGAAGGCGCGACGGAACCGGCGGCAGCAGGAGGAGAAGACAGGCGAAAGCGGCCGCGAGGGAGGAGGGAGGGACAGCGAGGGGGACAACAAAGTCGATCCCCTTCGTTTTCGACCCCGTGTTCGCCCCCCTCCCGTTCCCCCCAGGCGCCGGGCTTGCTGGAGGCCCTGGGGGGTCCCTTTTTGTTTGGCCGTTCAAGCCTGTGCTCCGGAACGTCTAGGGCCACCTGTGAAGCGAGGGGGCCACGGGGGGAGCGGAGCCAAGGCTCGGCTCCGCTCCCGCAGGCTGAGTGCCCTCCCCTCCCGTAATTGGATTTGGATGGGCAGCAGAGTGGCATCCCGGGCCGCCAAGAGTTCCACACGTGCTGTCCACTCTGCGGGGGGGGCGGTCGCTCGCGCCGCGAGGTGCGCCCGCCCACTGGCCTCGAGCATGCTGGCGTCTTGTTGTGCCCTCTCCTCCTCCTCCTCCTCCTCCTCCTCCTCGTCCTCCTCCTCCTCCTCCCTCCTCCTCCTTCCTACTCCCCCTCCTCGTCATCATCACCACCACCATCGTCAACAGCAGCCTCAGAATCACAATCCACCACCTCGTCACGTCAGCCTGCGTCGCACCAGCATCCTCGTCAGCAGCAGCCGCACCACCGTACTCAGGATCACCACCACCAGCAGCCCGGCGACGGCGAGACCCTCTTTGGGTCGCCTCTCCGTGGAGAAAAATCCGCCGCGCGCAGGGGGGAGGGCAGGGGGAAGGGACCTCTGAGCGATGGCGGAGAGCCTGGGTTGAGGTCCTGTCCATGCCACTTGGTGTGGAGGCGTTTCCCCCGAGAAGTGCGCGGAGCGATGCATTTGCCAGGAGGGAAAAATACACAGATACAATTAATCGTCGATCCCCCGGAAAATATAGGAAAATATGGGAAGTAGTGGGGAAGACAAAAACCCAGAACATATTTTTTAAAGATAGGGAATCCTGTTATGTGTATTAATTTTCTTTGTATGTCCCAGGGCCCCTTCAATTTGATGCCTCAGACCTCGGGGTGCGGGAAGATGTCCGTAACCCGGCGCTCCGTGCGGTCCTTGCCGGCCACGCGCAGGGGAGGGTCAGGGGGGGGGAGGCTTCTTAGCAGCAACCCCCGCCTCTTAGAAGCTGCGGGCCTCCTCTGTAGACACAAGGCCGGCGCCCTCCACGCAAGGAGCAGCCTCCTTCCAAGAAGCCTTCCCCCCTCCCCCTGCCCCCTTGGGCGTGCCGCCAAGCAAAGGGGTCCTGAGGGCAGGAGTCCCCGAGACTTATTGCCTGTTGGCGGACCCCGAGGGACCTCCCCAGGGCCCTGGACCGTCCACAAACGACGCGGCCGGGGTCGAAGCAGAGGTCCCGAAGGCAGCCCTGGGGTCCAGCGCCCCGGGTTCCTTGACGCCGGCGAGTCCGATGTCTTGCTGGCTTCCGCCGATCCCAGCCGATCCGATGGAACAGAAGCAGTTGCCGTGATACCGATACTCCCCGGACCTCTCCCGAGGTGCGTTTCGGACAGTGTTCCGAGGGGAAGCTAGCCGCGGCGACGAGGGCCTGCCAGGACGCCACACAGGCGCAAATGCGTCGCACGGTGGAACCCTCGAGATCTGGAGCTTTCCCTGAGACCGGCTCCGCATCCCGAGCTGTTTCCTTCAGTCCCCCCAACACCCAAAAAGGAGCCCCAGAAACCGAACATTTTTGGATACATCTAGTTTTGTTGTCTTTTGCGCCACGACGCGATGAGTCTTGGGCTTTGAGGGTCAAAATCTGTGTCGCATCTCAGGGCGTACCCAGCCGGCGTGGCAACAAGGATGCCCATCACAGGCCAAGCGAGTTTTCGGAAACCTCGACTCTGGAGCCTCGATCACTCAGGAGGGAAAGATCCACTCAGACACAATCCACCGTCGACCCCCCGGAAAACAAGGGAAAACACGGGACGTTGGGGGGAAGGCGAAGACCCCAGATATACTTGGAACACATGGGGCATCTTGGGACCTGTGTGTGCTCATTCGTGTGTGTGTGTGTGTGTGTGTGTGTGTCTGTGTGTGTGTGTGTGTGTGTCCCTGGGCCCCTGCGCAAACGAGCCTTCGGAAACCACCTCGGTCTCCCGGAGCCTCGAGATCACCGGGGGGCCGGAGCTCTGCCCCCCTGCCCACGAGGAGGCGGGCGGCGTGCGCCGTGGTCGAGTCGGCGCGCAGGGAGTGCATGGAGCAGGCGGCGCCGCCGCGCCCCGCGCCCCGCGCCGAGGCGGGACATTTGCACACGGCCACCGCCTGGAGGGTCAAGTGTCTCGGGGAACTCGGCGGGCGGTGGACGTGGACACTCAGGAGGGGGACAAACACACAGACACAATTAATCGTCCACTCCCAGGAAAATATTGAAAAATATAAGGGGTCCTTTTATTTGTGTGTATTTATTTGTGGGTCTCAGGGCCGCCTCAGACACATTCGGGCCCCCAGGGGCCAACATATATCCACATCACCGCCCGCTGGGGCACCAGGACGTCGGCTCCCAGGCGGTGGATCTGGATGAGTCCCCGCCTCGCGCCGGCCTCGCGCGCGACACCGCTCGACCCCGTCGGCGGCGACCGTCGCGTGCCGCGTCATTCTTGCGCAGGGGACGTGGGAGGAGGAGGAGGAGGAGGAGGAGGAGGAGGAGGAGGAGGAGGAGGAGGAGAAGGAGAAGGAGAAGGAGGAGGAGGCGAGGAGGAGGAGGAGGAGGAGGAGGAGGAGGCAAAAGCAGGGGAGGAAAATGAGGGAGAGCCTCTTCTCTGTCCCGTGCCAATGTTCTACCGGAGGATCCCCGAAGGCACTCCGCAACGCCCGCGCACGCGACCGGCACCGACCCCATCGACGGCGACGAGGACCGCCGAGGCCGTCTCGACCCCATCGACGGCGGCGTCGACGTCGTCGTCCGCTGGCGGACCTGGACCCCCGCACATCGTGAAGGTGTGAAGGCTGTAGGGGGCTCCTGACGACAGCTCTCAAAGGGCCTCCACCGGGCCCCGGGAACGCTCCCAGGCCGAGACGGGATTTGAGTCGGGCCTATCCCTCTACAGGGGGGATTTTCAAAAGTAGTCCAAAAAATAGTCTGGGGACCATCAGTTGACCATTTCTGGGCATTTGGGGGGCATTTTTGGAGTATGTTTTATTTTTCATCCAAAATCCCCTTGTAGGGGGACAGGCCCGACTTAAGACGGGATGAGAAGCTGGCCCTGGGAAAGGGGCCCATCTTTACTGGGGGGTCCACGCGGACACATCACGACGTCGCGGGCCCGGACTCATCGAGATCAGAAGAACCCCTCACACTGATAACACGATGAAGACGTGGCCTCCCTTAGGTCCCCGTCTTCGCATCAGGGATAATTCATCTGGGCGATGTGGTCCGATACACCTGCAGAGAAGACCCCAAAATCCCTAATTGTTCTGGCCCTCCTGACTCAGGTGCCCTCTCAACGGGTGAGGGGGTACTTGTATGGGTTATCACGGACGGCCTCCACGGGATCCATGTTGCTGTCCTGACTCGGGTCCCCTCCCGACGGCTGAGGGGTATTTTCTATGGCTCATCACGGACGACCTTGACGGCATCCACGTTGCTGTCCTGACTCGGGCCCCCTCCCAACGGGTGAGGGGTACTTCTTAATGTCCTCTCACGGACGACCTCGACGGCATCGACGCTGCTGCCGTCGGAGGTCTGCGTGGGGCTCCTCCTCGGAGGTAGCGCGGGAGCCAGCGGAGGCCCCGCGGAGAGCGCAGGGCACCTCTCCAGGGTGCCTGGCCCTGAAGTGTCCCGCATGGGGCCTTCGGCTGGAACCCCGTGATGTCCAGGGCGCGGCTCGGAGGTTGATAGTCACCACCCACCAAACCAGCCCAATCCAACCCGGAGGCTGCAATTTGTCCTCCATTTCCAGTGGGGGGGGGGTTGAGAACACTGTAACAACACGAGGAACCCGCACCCCCCCCAACCCGAATTTCGATTCAAATTCGGGTTCTCGGGTTGGGTTGGGGTGGTCTGGTAGGTAGTCAGTGGATAGACGTCCTACCCTAACACGTCGATTCGCGCATTGGCCGTTTGCGGTTCGCGAGAGGGCGTCGCGGCCGTCACTCTTGCGGGTCCAGGTCCGTCGGTTTCGGTCCCGGGCCGTGTTCAATAGAGGGTGGTTTACTACAGGGAGGTTCGTCCACCGCCGAGCGGGCCTTGGTGGCCGAGGTCGTGCTGCACGGGGTCCTGAATCAGGAAGGGGAGGTTCTTGGGGAAAGCGGGGGCTTCTGAGAATGCCATCGTCCGTGGTCGCAGGCCTGGCCTTCCAGGGCCACCAGTGTTGGCCGCAAGGCATGGTCAATCGTAGCCTCGAGCCCGAGGCAGGTGAGCGGTGGAGTCTCGGGAGCGAAGCGAAGACGCACGCGTGCATCATTCACAGTTGGTCAGAGAGCGTGTTGCGCGAGCGCTCGAGACATGAGAACGGTCTCGCAAACAAGGGTTGTTTGGCTCTTGCTCCTTTTTTAACCAGCCGCTGGCCTCGAGAGTGTAGAGCTGTCTTGTCCCACTGTTGTTGAGGCCGTCGCGTCACTCGGAGGCGGTGTACCTTGTGCTCTCATCCGTCCAGTGTGTCTGTCCGTGTCGTTCGAGTGTTCGCCGAGTCTCGGGTGATGCCGGGGGCGCGTCCCAGCGCAGCTCCAGCGCGTGAGGTGCTGGAGGTCGTGTGCAGTCAACCCGCATGGCAAGGATGGGCAACCTTGCCAATGGTACCTTTGCATCCTTACCTCCTCGGTCCATGCTTGGCCACTTCGAAATGATTGGCGGCGAGCGAGGGGGGGAAGTGAGAAGGAGACGGCCTTCTCAGAAGGTTCGGAAGTCCCCCAGCCTTCTGAGAATTTTTTCCGAGCCTTCCCCGAAGTCAGGCGACAACTTCGCAGAAGGCGCGAGGACTTCTGAGAAGCCCCGCCACCTTCTGAGAAGGCCCTCGCTCGCCGCCGATCCTTGGCCGCTTCGAGATGAGCGTCCAAGCGCCCCTTGCATCCTTGCCGCGCATCCCCTTCCGATGTACGGGCCGACGACTGTACGGCCGTCGCGTGCCGCCTCCTCCTCCTCCTCCTCCTCCTCCTCCTCCTCCTCCTCTCCTCCTCCTCTCCTCCTCCCTCCTCCTCCTCCTCCCTCCTCCTTCTCCTCCCTCCTCCTCCCTCCCTCCTCCTCCTCCTCCTCCTCTCCTCCTCCTCCTCCTCTTCCTTTTCCTCCTCCTCCTCCTTCTCCTGCCTTCCTCCTCCTCCTCCTCCTCCCTCCTCCTCCTCCTCCTCCTCCTCCTCCCTCCTCCTCCTCCTCCTCCTCCTCCTCCTCCCTCCTCCTCCTCCGTTACAGGGCACGCGGCGACAAGGACTTGAATTAGTTCGGGCAACTCCGGGAGTGGGGCGAAGACGTGGTCAGTGAGCGATTTGCGCGGAGAGGTTCGAACGAGGCGAGCTCGCGCACAGCCAGCATGCAGTGAAAACGCGCAGTCTGTGCTGTGCCATTCCAGGCGTGCTCATGCGTTCCCCCGTGAGCGCCACATAGCTTTGGCGGGGGTGGATCCTTCGATATCATGTGTTACGCACTGGATTCCCCAGAGTCTGGGCATCGCTCGGACGTGTGCATTCTTTTTCGGCGGAGACCATCGATAATCATGTTGGGCCATCCTGCAAGAAGTAAACGGACGAAATCGACAAATGCACGGGAATTGGACGTCCGAGCGATGGCAAAGAGTCTGGGCTGAGGACTTGTCCATGCCGTTTGGTGTGGGGGCGTGCCCCCGAGAAGTGCGCGGAGCGGTGCATGCACGTTGATGCCTCCGCCCTCGGGGGGCGAGAAGATGTCCGCAACCCGGCGCTCCGCGCGGTGTTTTATGGCCATGCGCAGAGAGGGGTCAGGGGGAGGGGGAAGGCTTCTTAGACTTAAGGCGGGCCTGTCCCTCTGCAGGAGGAATGTTCAAAGACATTCCAAAAATAGTATGGGACGGTTTTTGTTTGACCATTTTGTCTGATATTTTTGGGATACGTGGGATTTTGTTTCTCGTCCAGAATCCGCCTGTAGGGGGACATGCCCGACCTAATCTTAGCAGCACCCCTGCTTCTAGAAGACGCGGGCTTGATCTGCAGATGTAAGGCCAGCGCCTTCCACGAAGCTGCCTCCTTCTACCTAAAGAGGCCCGTCCCCCTCCCACTACTGCCCCCTCTCTGCGCGCCGCCCCGAGCGTGGGGGCGCGTCTCGAACGGCGGAGCTGTGTAACCGAAGGACATGGGTAAGCCAAGGTGTCGGCGGTTCGGCCGATGGAATGGCGTTGCAGTCGGGACCGAACAAAACATTTTCACCTGGGACCGGACGACCAATTTGGGGGACCGAGCCACCAATGTTTTGGCGAACAGAAGGTTGTGCTCGGTCAGGCGAATGCTTGGTCGGACTTTGTTGTTCGGTCCCATCAGATTGCTTTGTTTGTTCGTGTCGTTGCTGCCTCGCCGCGCCCTTCCAGGCTGTGTGCGGCCTGTCGACCGCGCGCTCGGCCTCGGCTTCCTCCTCTCTTTGCGGCCAGCTTGCGGCCGCACCGTCGCCGCGGGCGGCCCGGGGTGCAGCTTCGGCGCAGGGCCGGAGGGGCCACGGAGGTTGCTGGGCCCCTCCCTGCGCCCAGGCGGCGGCGGTGGCCATCCAGAGGCACTGGCGCGGCGTCTCCGCGCGCCTCCGGACCGCGCCGGGCCGCCCGCGGCCCCGCGGCCGGCAGGAGGAGGTGCTGGCGGGGAGGGGGAGGGGGGGCAGGCAGCGGAGGAGGCGAGGAGGCGAGGACGAGGTCGAGGTTCGAGGGTCGGGGGGGGGCTGGCAGGCTCTCTCTCTCTCTCTCTCTCCGTGTGGGCTTCCGCGGCTGGATCCGCCGCGAAGCTCCAGCCGGAACGCCCCCCGGGGGGAGGCCCAGTGGTCGAAGGGAGGGAAGGGGGCGGGGGCGGCGGGTGCTGGCAGGGTCTGCGGCGGGATGCGCCCGAGAGAAGTGGGAGGAGAGGTGGGAGCAAAGAGGATGTAGCCTGGCCTGAGAGAGTGGTGCACGCTTGGGGGGAGCGTGCAGAGGGGAAGCCTCGGCTCGTCCGGTCGGACGGCGGAGCACGTGGAAAGGGGCGGGTACAGGTGTTGCACGCGGCTGGGCGCCCCTCTTCGATGCATTGGCGCCTGGATGCGCCAGAGAACCCAGGTACGCGAGCTGCTTCGGTACCCCCCCTTTGCGACCCGGACCGTGGAGGATGGAGCAATTCTTCCGGCGCCTGCACGACAGCGCCGCGCTCTGCCTGCAGAGGAACGTGCGCGGGCACAGGAGATGCTTGGGGCGGGCGCCGGTGCCAGACTGGCTGTGGGGAGCAGAGGCGCGCCGAGTCGATCAAGTCGGGGGTTGCTGCTGGCGACCCTGGCCCAAAGTGTCCCCAATATTCCTCTCCATTTTGCAGCCCCTGGGACCCCTTGGCTTCGCGAGGGGTGCTCTGGAGGACGTGGGGGCCTCCTTGGAAATCCTGGGGACACCCTGTGCCAGGGACACTGCCAGCAACATCCCTAATTACCATCCGAGGCTCCACTGCGTACGGCAGGCTGGCGTCGTGTCGACGCGGCAGCGACCCCGCCGCAGATGTTCAAGGTGGGACGCCGCCTGCAGCCCAGGTTCGGCGGATCTGGAACGATGTAGCGGTAGGTCATGGTCGAACGACCCAGGTTGAAGGACCCAAGCTCGGCGGCGAGCGAGGGGGGAAGTGAGAAGTTCCCCGGAAGTTCCCCGGAAGTTCCTGCGGACCGGGCGGCGGGCCGGGGCGCCTGCGGGCGGTGCGGCTCGCCCGCCGCCGGCGCCGCCGAGGGCACGCCGCCGGCACGTCGGCACGGCGCGGGCGCGCGGCGGGCCCGCGGCGCGGCGCCTCGCCCGCCGCCGGCGAACGAGGGCAGAGCAGAGGCCAGAGACCGGGGGGCGTCACGTCACGAGCCTTCACTCGGGCCTCCCCCTACAGGGGGCATTTTCGACGAGAAATTAAAACATATTCCCGAAATAATCAAACAAATAATACAAAAATGATCTGGGGACTATGTTTTTAAGCATTTTTGTAGTTTTTTGCTGCATTTTGGGGGTACTTTTCATTCTTCGTCGAAAATCCCCACATAACACGAGGCCCGCCGTGCGCACGGCTACAATGAGGCGCGCAGGAGCCACGGCCTCGGCCTCGATAGGGATCGGGGAGCCGACGCCGCTGCCGCGGCGGGAGCCGGCGGCGGGCGGCCGGAGGGGGTCGGATGTGCCTCATGGCCTGCCGAGATGCCGCCGTTGCCGACCGCTGCGCCGCGGGCGTCGATTGGGGGCATCGCACTTGCTGCCTGGGCCCGCTCGCGCCCAGGCGGCCTGGCGCTCTCGGGCTCGCGGTCCTCGAGGTCCACCAGCTTGCCTGAGAAGAAGGAAGCAGGAAAGGGGGCGGCGCGAACGTGCTTGCGGAGGCAAATATTGAGCGACCCCAGAGAAAACGGGTTCGTCTGCGCCGACACTGGCGCGCAAGCTGGCCGCGTAAGCTCGCGCGTCAGCGCCCTCGTCTTCAAAGTAGCTCACCGCGCAGGCGGCCCGCGTAAGCAACCGCGTAAGGTCGCTGCGGCATCTCGCGTAAGACTTGGAACGTCTGAGTCCGCGACGCTCTGGTTTAGGCTTGAAAAGCCTAAAACCCTTCAAAACCCCTATTTGGGCAGCCTCGGCTGATTCTTGGAAAACCCTTCAAAAGCCATGCGACGATTTTGGTCGTAGGGTTTCAGAAACCTCAATATCTCGAGCTTCATGTGATCGAGCTGATCATGCCATCGTCAATTGAAGTTCACCCCATCCACTATCCTCGTTCCTCCTCCCCTTTCCCCCATGCTAACATGCAAGCCCAATCAATTAGGGTCGAGAGCTCCAGAATGAGAAAACGCACCCTCACTTACTTATAGCGAGGAGCTCAATTATTCGGTTCAATTATCGCTGATGCCATGTACTCAGAGGGGGTAGGTCATTCCCACCACTTAGTCGTAGGATAGTTAAGTTGAGTACTCAATCGTAGGATAATTGCGCCGGGACACCCAATCCTAGGACAAGTGTGCCGAGAACACCACATGCATCATTGAGGCAATGTACTCAGAAGGGATAGTGCACTGTGCCAAACACCCAATCGTATGACAACTGTGTTGCCACATCGAATGACCTGCGTGCTCGGGGCTCTTGGGCGTTTTAGTTGCAGAAAATGAACAGATGGATGTGGGTGTTGTTCATGTAAGGGGAAGGGAATGAGTAGGCGGCAGCCCGAGGGCTACCAAATACAAAAAAAAACATCGCAACATCATGTTATACGTTGGGGGTCTGGGGGCGCTCTCCCTGTAGAAGGCGGGGCCGCGTTATCCTTGCAATCTAGTGGGGAGGGCCAACACATATGGTCGATGGATGAGCTTTCGTTTCGTCGGTTGCATGTCATTCGCACTCACAGTCACCCAATGCATAGCCATTTTCGGCCAAGTCTGTTTAATGTAGCTGGACACACCACAGTTTCCATGGGAAGGGGTGGGCGAGGCAAGGGTCAAAATGCACTGCCCATGCAAGAGTTGCAGAGATTCTCAGCACAAGCTCGCGCAAGACGAGCAGCTGAGCAGCGTGAGATTGCCCGCCAGCGTGTGAAAAAACAAAGAGCTTGCAACGCTGGATCGTGCCACCGTGTTCTCTCTGGTATGTCAACGGCCAGCCCTTGTGAAGAGCCCCATGGTTTCGAGAATCGTCGATCTGATGAAAGAAATCGGGAGGCCTGACATGCCGCTTGTCCGTTTGAGAGATTCGACTTCAGCAGCTAAATGGTTGTTCACGGCTGGTTCCAGCACACGGTGACACAGGCGATCGAACTAAGTGGTGGTGGGGGGCGAGTGATCGGGCGCAAGTCGCCGACAAAATTGTTCCAGGTGCAAGGGTGGTGGGGGGCAGTGATCACATTGAAACCACCTGGCCAGACGAATGCGGAGTACTACATTATCAAAGCTCAACAGTTCATGGCACTGCAAGCGCTTCCAGATATGACGACCGACACTGTCAGACGGGCCATGCAGGACCAGTCAGGGGCCACCATCGTCGAGAGCAACGCCGCTGCAAACAAAACCCGATGTGTTGCGAAGGATAGGCACCCGACGAACCACGCAGCAGAGAGGGCCATGATGGCGGACAGAGGGCGAAACTGGTCAACGCTCGAAGTAGATTGTGAGATCCACATGGCCGCGACAATCCACAAGAATACATCAGTGCCCGTATCGGGGGCGCTGAAGGGCATGCTTCACATGGCGCTGCTGCAACAAATGAGTGGAGAGTTCGCCACGTTCAGGCGCTGCGTGCACCAGGTCGCCCGACAGCGAGCCAGGATCTGTCGCGGCGACGCTGGGCAAGAAGCAGAATTCTACAGGAAGCTGTGTTTGCGGTTCTTTGTTCCAGGAGGGGCCAAGAAGGCGATGCGGCGAGTGCTTCTCCATTTGCTCCCACATGGCGATTGGCGCTTGCGTGACCGAGTTCATTTTTGGCTTCCAGTCGGCTACGAGGTTGACGAGGGCAGGTTCCTCGACGATGCGTGCCACTCGTTGTCCAGGGCTCTTGCTTACAGACCATTCAGAACTTGGCAGAAAGATTGGAATGGGGCCGAAGATGCGGTCTGCGATCCTGGGCTGGTCGAAAGTTGCCATGGCCTTGTGTTACCTGCCGCGCAGCTGTTCTGCACGAAATACCACGGAAAGAAAAAGGGGACAGTCTGGGCAATGCCCCCTCCGCCGCCGCCAGGTCCTCCAGCGGTGCCGATCGCAGACGGCGCGGCCGAGGAGGCGGACGACGAGCCCATGGATGAGGACGAAGCTGGACATATGGTCGACGCAGGCTTGTACGACCACGGCCGCCAAGTGAAGCATTGCAAGCAAGTCCTGGAGTGGAGTGCGTCTAAACAGCCTGGTGGCCCTTTCTGTCAGATTTTGATGTGGAGGCTCGCGGGCGGTGTCATGCAGCGGTTGATGCGGCGTCAGATCTACATGGATTCGCACGCATACAACAGGGAGCAGGCGTTCAAGGCAGCGAACGCCAGAAACAATGGAGACCCTACATCGGGGCGCGATTTCCCCATGGTCTTGGCAGCAAGAGGCGTGGTCGAGGACCTTGCGATGGTACAGGTCAGAGCTCTGTTGTTTGACCCTAGCTTGTGGCATCTGATGTTGGACAACGACTTGACCAACAGGGCTAGGGCAACAGCTTGCGTCATGCTTATTTCAGTCGGAGCTGGCGTCGAGAAGTTTTTCGTTAAGCGACATTCGGAGTTCCCATTCAAAGCGCTCAAGGTGATTGACGACCCTGGAGCTGGCGCTGAGCTTGACGCTGAAAAGCCGTGTCGCCTGTGCCCGTGGAGCCGCAAGTTTAAGGAAGGGACATCATTCAGCTCTGAACCCGCTAGGGCTCGATTGCTGCTTCTATTGGCGCACTTGCTGACTACGGTGAACATCAGGGTGGAGCTTAAGAATGCGTTGCTCCGGAAACACATCGTTAAACGAGTGAACACGCGCGCCATCAGCCTGCCAGACTCAGGCACGCAGTGGGCGAGGGACTTTTTCAAGACATTGGTCACCCCGCAAGTGGGCGTCGTCGAAGGGCTTCGCGGTGGCGAGCAGGAAGAGGAGCCCGCTGTGCCGAGCAGAGGCTCGTCGGGTGGTGCGTGGCGAGCTTGGGTCAGGGAGTGCGGCGTGCAGGATTTCAGGGAAGCTGCTCGTCGTTTCAGAGCTTCACCCGCAGCTGAGGTGCAGCGCCTACGAGGAGTCAGCGCAGAGGCCACTCAGAGGGCAAGGGCAGGCTTCGAACGTGGCACGGCGCCCGGCCCGACGCGCCGCACAGTCATGAACGCGAACGCTCGTCGCCTTGCTGATGCTAGGCTGGCTCGGCTGGAGACCGTGGAGGGCGACTGCGACATCGAGCAGATCTTGGAGATGGCCAGCTCGTTGGCCGAGAGCCCGAACGACGTGGCCAAGCGAGTCAAATCTTTCGTGCGCGCTTCGAACCAGAGGAGGAAATCGGCGGCCGAGGCGGAGCGAGTGGTCGCTGAGCGGTACGCCACTGACAACACGGCGGCCGCAGTGAGGAAGTTTTTAGCTTGCGTTCCAGGTGCCGCGCCACTGGGGTCATCTCTCGTTCTTGACCCTGGTACTATCGGTAAGGGCACTGTGTTCGATTTGGCGGCAGATGGTTCGAGGGACCAGATGACATCTGTATTGCAATGGCTCGATCAGCAACCTCACAAATCTCAGAATGTGTCTTCATGCGCTGCATCGCTCTGGCAGGGCATGCACGGCCTCTTACCAAGTGCGCCTGCCGATCTGGCGGTGCGCGCACCACGAGACGACGAGCTCGAGCAGCCAAGCAAGTGCTGGCTAGCGGGCTTTTGCATTTGTGATGACAGAGGGAAGAAGATCCATGCGCTTCGAAATAGAGTGCTTCTTGCGATGAAGAAAGTATTTCCAAGGGCTGCAACCGTGAATCGAGCAAAGTTAGTTGGTCGTTCGATCGTGATGAAGTTCTCATTCGCAATGCCCGTGCCCGACGACGCAGCAGTCCCTGACGATATCGACCTCCGTGCGTTCTACGGCCTCGCACCTCGGTATCTTCAAGTTTCTGACATGAGCTTGTCCCCCTACCAGCCGCGGTTCCACGAGTTCTGGGACATCCGAGGCGAGGAGGACGAGCACTACGCCAACGCAGGCGAGGGCGAGATCCCGTTGAAGGCAACTCAGTGCGAACATGTAGGGTTAGGTTAGATCACAGGGGTGAGGGATGTTAAGAGGGATTGCGTTCGAACGGGCTTGCGATATTTAGGGGTCAGGGGCCTTGGGAGGCACCGCTAGACGGGTTTGGGGGCGCGCTCTTCTGGGGCAGCGCGCGCGTGGCAACTCTAGCTATTCATTGGCCCAAGGCTCCTACGGGGCCCGCCCAGGGGAAGTCCAGGGGCTACAACGAGGCCATAGATGGCCCATGGCCCAGGGTATTGGAATTATGAGGCGAGGCCGAATCCCAAATACCTTATCTGGCAACCCTCTCCCTGCTATGTGTTGCGTGACTCTACCCTTTAGTTCCTGTGCCCTGTATCTACCCTTCGCCTTATCTTCAATAGCCTCTACTCTCTCTACCGTCGGCTCTCAATCCACCGTCCCCGATTCGACAAAATATGCGATATGATCTCTACAACCTCCGTGATCACCCCTGCCCTCCACTTCCCATCATGTTCCCCCCAATTCCTCCCTTTGATATCTAGATTCGTCGTTCTCTCACCTTAGCCGTTCTCGTTACATTACACACATTGTTGCCGAAAAGCGTTCTCTACCCACTGCTGTTTTTTCTATACAGCGTGCCGTTGTCGCGCCGCATGCTACATCAACCAGGTTACAAGGATCTCGGGGCCCAGGCGCCGACAACGCGTTCAAAACGGCAGCAAACAAAACAAACAACGCGCAATGCGGAACACACAGAAACAAAAGCAACGCTTTTGAGCATGAATGGCGCCAATACTGCTGCACCGTGATCCGTACCTCTGTCACGCCCGAGGGCCTGTGATTATTCGCCGCGCTGTTTCTTAGGGCAACCCTATTTTTAGATACAGCACTCTGGTTACCACCTTCGTCCCCTGGTCGCCCCCGTTCACTCCTTCTTGCCCCTTCGCACCCCACCTGCTCTTTACCTTTGCGCTTTCATTGTATAACATCCCGCTGTCCCCTCCTCCTCCTACGCGCAAGCTTTTATTCCACGCGTTCTACACCCCCGAATGTAATGCATATCTTACAACGCGCCATGCCATATGTCGCCGACATCATACCATATTTATCGCGACACTTACAGCTGCATGCCTGCCAAGCCCCTTCCGCCGCCCCACCCCGCAGGCTCCTTACATAACCGAAAAATGCATCTAGTTGTTGGGTTTCGCACTTTTGGTGGTTGCCAGTCGTAGTAGCTCGATCGTAACAGCACGTTGCTAATAGCAAGTAGGTAACAAGGATATGGTATTAGCTCGCAACATTTAGTTTGCGTAGATAGTTGCGGAATGGTGATGCGTGGCTGGCTGCCTGGCGTTCGTAGTCCGAAGTCAAGACCCGATGAACCGCATTAGAAGTCTGACAAGGTGTCTGCCATCTAACCCTTCCTTGGCAGCTCTTTGCGGGTGCTTCGGCGCGCAAGCCAGTGGGAACGCTCGGGTGCGAGCCCTCTGGGGCGGCGAAGTTTGGGCCCATTGGGGCGCGACAGCGCGGGCCTGCAGGGCCGCCGAAGTGCGAGCCCGCGGGGGGGAGGGGGGGGGGGCGCAAAATGGGGGAGGGGTGGGGTGCGCAGAGGCGCGCGCGTGCGTGTGAGAGAGAGAGAGAGAGAGAGAGAGAGAGAGAGAGAGAGAGAGAGAGAAAAAAAAATGCGCGCGTGCGCGCGCGCGCGCGGCGGTGGTGGGGAGGGGGCCCCAAGGGCCGCAGACGCGCGGCCCCACGAGAACGCGGAACCGCGAACCCGTGAAAGCCCAGGGGCCCTCCACTCCCTTTACTTCGCCCACTGCTCCGAGGCCGCCTACCGCCCAATGCGACATGTTCGTCGCCCTTCCGCCCTTCCGACGAGACCCACCACTCCGCGTGCTGCCCCGAGGCCTTATCAACCTTCGACCGCGTCTATGGCTCCGTGCCCCCCTCCCCCCTGCTCCGCGACTTTGTCGGCCGCTCCGAGGGCTTCTATGCCTTCGACCTTGTCTACAATCTACTGCCCTGGGGCCCTCTTGTGCGCCCATCGGGGGGGAGGGGGGGGGGGGGGGGGTGGGGTGGGGGCGGGGGCGGGGGGGGGGGGGGGGGTGGGGGCGGGGGCGCAGAAGCGCGGGCACATAGGAGCGCAGATGGGCGAACCAGAGGAACGCAGAGGTGCGATATTCTAGATATACTGACGCCCGAGCCCATGGGAACGCAGGGGCGCAAGCCCATTGGAACTCAGAAGCTTGGGCCCACGGGGGCGCTACAGGGCGGGCCCATGGGAACGCCGAAGTGCGGACCCATGACATATCGGAATGAGGAGTGGTGGCCCATAAGGGCACCGACGGGCGAGCCCAACGGAACGCAGACGCGCGATCCCATGGGGGCGCGGGCGTGCGAGCCAGTAAAAACGCCGAAGCGCAAGGTAATGAGAACGCTGGGGCGTGACCCCATCGGGGCGCGAAAGCGCGAGCCCGTGGAGGCGAGGTGCGTTTCTCCATCGGGGCGCAGGGGTGTGATCCCACATGGGGGCGCAGTAGATCGAGCGCACGGGGGCGCAACGAGCGAGCCAAAAGGAACGCATGAGGCGCGACCCCGAAGGAATGCAGACAAGAGGGCCCACGCCAACGCCGAGGTGCGACCCCGTAGGGGCGCATGCGTGCGAGCCCATGGACACGCAGAGCTGCGATCCCAGCAGGCGGCCGACGCGCAAGCCCATGGGGCGCGCATGAGTGCGAGCGTGCAGGGGCGCGCATGCGCGTGCCCGCAGGGCGCAGCTGCGCGATGCCATTGGCACGCGTAAGCCTTAGCCCATGGGAGTTGAGAAAGGGTCATGCGGGGGCGGCGAAGCGTGCGCCTTCGGGCGCGCAGAAGTGCGAACCCGACGCAAGACAGCAGTGCGACCCCACGCTTGCTGAAGTGCGAACCCATTGGGGCGCAGGGGTGCGATCCCGTGCGGTGGTGGTGGCGGCGTGGCGGTCTGCGTGCGTGCGTGCGTGCGTGCGTGCGCGCGTGCGTGCGCGCGCGCGTGTGTGTGTGTGTGTGTGTGTGTGTGTGTGTGTGTGTGTGTGTGTGTGTGTGTGCGTGCGTGTGTGTGTGTGGCGCGGAACTGCGAGCCCACATGGCCAGCACACACGAACGCAGAGGTGCGAGCCTACAGGGTCGCGGAAGTGCGAGCCCACCATAACGTCGAAATGCGCCGTCCGAGGAACACAACGGATGTTCGCCATCCATACAGTTATTGCGCGTCAGGCAGGAGGCATGATGCGCCGCCTTGGGAGGGGGTGGGTGGGCGGTGTGTGTGTGTGTGTGTATGTGTGTGTGTGTGTGTTTGCGTGTGTGTGTGTGTGTGCGCGGGGCTCTTGTCGTTCGTAGTCCGACCTAGACTCTAGAACTTCGTGGCTATTTGTTCGCATTCATTGGCTGGGGCGCTGCTGAGAAACCGTGCTTTCAAGTCGGTAGGCTTTGTATTTCTGCAATATTATCTAACAGTGGCTAGGAGCTCGTCGCTACGTGTCGGTCGCTCGTAGTCATTCGTGCGTAGCAAGTAGCCAATGTGAAGTAGTCCTGAACATGAGATGGTCGTCGCAGGTCGGTCGCAGTCTCAGCTTGTGCGCGGCAGTCCGTACAGCGTCCGCAGCCGCTAACAACTTGTAGTTAGTAGGTAGAGACAAAGGGCCGTTAGGTAATTTCGGAGCCAATCGCTATTCGCTAATAGTTCCTTGCTAGCCCGTATCTCGTCATCCAAACTGCTTGATGCCTTGCGTTGTTGCGACCCCTGGGGCGTCTAGCGGGAGAGTGGTGCGCACCGTTCCAAACTGCATGTCCCTCCCCCCAAAGGGCCGCCAATTGCGCACTTGTCGACGCTGTCGCGGTTCCTTGGGGGGTCCAGCGGAGCGGGTTTTTACCTGGGTCCAAGTGGGGATCTCGCCCACCCCTCCCCACTAGGGCCAACAGTTCCAGGTCGCGCCCCTCAGGTCAACAATTTTTTCTGCCCGCAAAACACATTGCAATCCGCCTGCGTGGCGCCAACCGAACCGAGGTTCAGTGGCTGTTAATTCGGCAGTCGCCCGCGGCATGTTGGAATGCCTTCTGTCGCCCCACGCAGGCAACTGGTATCGTCGCAGGCATGTGTGAGTTCTTGAACCCTTTCAATTTGGCTGAAACCATCTCGGTCGAATTCTTCGAAGAGCTTTTCCACGACAGGCCGATCGAGAAATTCATACCAGGAATTGTGCTTGTTTCCCAACTTCCAGAGTCCGACAGCTTCGACGCGTGGCCAGTTCCGAAACGGAAGCGGCGCGGCAGAGCGGCTGGTGCTGCCCGAGGCCGCGGGGGCCACGCGGCCGGCCCAGACTGTCACGGACGAGGGCGCGCTCACGGTCGTGGAGCTGATCTTGGCGGCGGCGGTCGCGCAGGCCGCGGGCGAGGGCGCGCTGTGGCGCATGCCGCTCTGGCCCTCATGGACGAGGACGATGCGTCGAGCGCCTACAGCGACTTGAGCTTGCACACCCCCGTCGACACGGAAGACAGCGACTACGAGGACAGCGGCGTGGCCACGGACGAGTACTGCGCCTCCTTGTTTGAGAGCTCAGATGGCGAAGGCGAGGGCGGAGGCGAAGGCGAATCAGACGAAGGAGGCGTCGGCGGCATCATTGATGATGTCGGCGGCGGTGGCATCGGGAGCGGCGGTGCAGATCCGCCGCCAGGCGAGCCGCCTGGCCCGTCAGCTGCTGGCCCAGCTGAGCCAGGAGTTCCACCTCCACCTGTCCTGCCCCCACCACACATCGTTCCAGTTGAAGGCGGCAATTTAACAGTGCATCTTCCTGGCAACCACAAGCTCAGCTATTACAAGAATGGTGATCACTTTGAAATGACTTGCGGCAACATGGCCGATCATGGACCTTGCCGATTGACCAGGAAAGCATACGGCGCAACGGGGCGTCGCGCAGCCGCTTATCAGGAGCAGGGTCGGCCACTTGGATTACTTTTGGCGCGGGCGTTCTTCGGGTGCGGCTGCGGTTCCCAGTTTGAGCACTTGAAGTTTCAACCCACGCTTGAGCAGCGCCAGAGGTGCCGCCAGCAGTTTCTCGAGCGGTGGGGCGACACTGCCGCGGCCATGTTCAGCCGCGAGCGCGAGCAGCGCGCTGATGAGCCTGCAGAGCCGATCAGGGCTCCATGAGGATTCAAAGGATTGCGCTTTTTTGCCAGAGTTGCGTTGGATGGTGCAATTCATCCGCCTGTTCGCCCCCCTCCTCTTCCGCGCCCGCCTCCACGGTGGGGCGCCTACGTGAGGCGCCCATCCTCTTCCTTCCTCCACTTCTACTTCCTCCTCCTCCGTCAGATGTTTCTTACTCGCCGTCCCTCCACTGGCTCCGCCCCCCCTTCTCCGTCGACCCACCCCCTACTCAGCCTGCTCCTGGCCCCCCCCTCGCAGCCCATTGTCAGAAAGCGTTGTTCCGACACTACCTCGCGACAGGCATGTCCAACACAAAGTTTTCAAACATTCCATGGCGCATTTTGTGGAAGGGTTTGAAGACCTTTTGAAAGCCTTTGAACCCCCCTCCCAGGACGTTTCAAACACCCTTTGAGGGCCTTGAGCGGTTTTGTTTTTTTCTTGACAGCCTTCGCGAGGGGAGTGTCCGACAATTCTTTGAAGCAAAGCCCTTCCACTGACCCGTCGAAGTGGAGCGGTATCGCGCGAACCCGTTCAAGCATGACTCGATGCATGTCGACATGCGATGCCAAGTTGCTGGTATCGGCATCCAACAGGCCCCCAAAAGGCCTCCAAAAGGCATCCAAAAGGCCTCCACAGGGCCTCCAAAATGCCTCCAAGATGGCTCCGAGATGGCTCCAGCATGTCTCTAACTTAACAGTTGTTGTGTTAAGACATCGTAAATTCCAAACTCATTCATGCACACACGTGTACATATATATATATATATATATATATACATACATATATATATATATGTATACTCATACGCATATTCATTTTATACATACATGCCCGCGCGCGCTCAGTACCCCCCTGGGGGGCGCGCAAGCGCGCGAAGTACCCCCCCCCCCCTGGGGGTGCCTTGGCGGCGGGCCGCGCGCGCTAAGTACCCCCCCCCCCCCCCCCCTAGGGAGGTGCCTGGCCCTTGCGCGCGTGCGCTAGGTACTCCCCTTGGGGTGGCCTGGGCGGTGGGCCGCGCGCGTTAAGTGCCACCCCAGGGGGGGTACCTGGCCCTTGCGCTCGCGCTAAGTACCCCCTCAGGGGGGGGCTGCACCCCCGCCTTCGTGGTTGGATGCGCCTCGCACGAGGGTAAGTTTTAGGGCGTCCGCGGCCGTTGCGCCGCCTGTGGGACGTCCGTGCGTCCGCCCTCCCACTTCGTCGCGGCCGTTTGCCCAGACGAAGTCTGCGCGCACAGCGCAGTGTGCGAGGGGATCCCCCCCCCCCCCCCCCTCCAGATGTCAGCCCTGGCCTGTCCGATCTCCAGTTAGCCCGACAGTTGCCGCGCTGAGCTGGGGTGCGGTTTTCACCCAGCAGCTAGACAGGTCTTCTCTTTCGGCAGTGTGGGCGGCGCCGCGGCCGCAGGGGTTTCCTGTCGCGCAGAACGATCGCCTCTAGAAACAAAAAAAAACGGATCGCCTCGACATGGGTGTGCGCTACAAAGAAGTGCTGGCGAAGTTGTCGGGGATGCCGAGGTCCGTTTTACACTCCCCCCCCGCCGTGTCCATAATCATATGTGTTCAAGCCTCGATCGGTTTCTGTCATCACCCGCCCGCGCGAGACCCTCTTTGGCCTGGGGTAGATGTCAGCTTTGACCCGTCCGAACCCCAGCTAGCCCGAACGTTGCCGCACTGAGCGGGGGTCGGGTTTTCACGCAGTTCGACAGGCCTTCTCTTTCGGCAGTGTGGGCGGCGCCACGACCGCAAGGGTTTCCTGTTACGCAAAACGGTAGCCGCAAGATAAACTGATCGCCTCGCCCCACAATTTCTTTTCCTTGAAGTTTCCAAGCGCTTGGGGGAACTACGTGAATATGGCGCCATGAGTGGCCCTAGAAGGCAGCGTAAGTCTTCGATTTCATGATGCCCCAACATTGACCGATTCTTTCTTTTGTTTAGAATGGGTCAGCACAGGGGGCCCAGTCCTCGATTTAATCATGCCCTGACTACGTCAGATTGGGGGAGCACCTTGGAAAGTCCAGCTGGCTCTCTGCCCCCCACCCCCACCCCCCGCCCCCCGTCGGCCCAGGGGGAAGGGCATGGCCCCAAGGGGGCAGGCGCGGCCGTGCAGGCCCGACCTGTCCCGCGGCGTGGCCTCAGCTTGGCCCAACTGTCACTGCAGGGCTGGCGCGGCCGTGTAGGCCCGACCAGGCCCTGTCGCCTGTGACGGGCGCTTGCTAGCGCTGGGACGCGTAGCTCACAGTTTCAGCCCGCTCTCAGTCGGTTTGTGCCCTCTGGCGGTGCGGCTGCGGCTCGCTACACGCACCGCGACAAAACGCACGCACGCACGCGCGCACACACGCACACACGCGCACACACAACACACACATACACACGCACACACACACACACACACACACACACACACACACACACACACACACACTCTACACACCACCACCACCACCACACACACGCACACACACACGCCCCCCCCCCCCTCCCCCCCTCCCGAATGCGTCATCTTTTGCAGGCGCGTAGCCTGCTGCGGCTTGAAGGAGGACGCGTGCAAGACACAATGCAAAGTGTTGCCGATGAGCTGTCTGTCTGCTCGCCAGTTTCCCATCCTGTGCAAGGAGGAGGTGTGCAAGACAAAATGCTGCCGATTGGTCGTGGGTCTGCCCGCCGCTGGCATAGCGTCGGCACCGCGGAGCCCGCGCGAAAAAAAAAGTTTGAACTTTTCTGACAGCGGCTCTTGTCTCACGGTGCCGTGCCGTTTGACAGATGCAGCGGTTGCGAGGTTTGACAGATGCATTCCCCCGCGGTTGCACCTTTTCAGAGTGGGATTCGTCACGTGCCTCCTCCTCCTCATCCTCCTAATTGTCAGCCTGTCACTCCAACTGGTCCCTTCGCCGCGTGCACCTGCAACAGCCGCGCTCCCCCACCACGCCGCCACCATGCGCACACGCGCACACACACACCACACACACACACGCACGCGCGCGCACCACACACGCGCACAGAGACCCCCCCCCCCACACACACACACACACACACACACACACACACACACACACACACACACACACACACACACACACACACACACACACCACACACACCACAGACACCACCACCACCACACGCACGCACACACACATACCGCCCGACTCTCCCCCCCACCCCCACCACCACCGCGCGCGCACACGCGCGCGCACGCGCGCTCTTCCTCTTTCAATATTATAGTATCTCTCTTCTCTTCTCTCTTCTTCTCTTCTCTTCTCTTCGCTTCTCTTCCCCCCTCTCTCTCTCTCTCTCTCTCTCTCTCTCTCTCTCTCTCTCTCTCTCTCTCCCTTTCTCTCTCTCGCGCGCGCCACCACCACGCGCGCGCGCCGTACCCACTCATCATCGCAACTGCTAAGAGGCACTGTTGGGCATACTAACCACTAACCCCTTAGAAGTACCTCTGGGGCGTTCCCGACGAACTTGCATATTTTCTATTACGCATGTACATGCTGACCACGTGCTATGTCGTTGTAACACTAGCTGTCAAGTCTAATATCAGTCAAAGTGGTGTGTAGGTCGGTTAGGTGACGGCTTTACTCAGGCTCTCTGTGAATCTCTGGTTTCCCAAGACACATTGCGAAAACCATGTGGGCAAGCTTGCATCATAGCAGCGTGCTCATCGTTGTGCAGACGGCCCAAGTCTGAACCCATACTGGGTTTGTTCTAAACAAACAAAAACAAACAGCCCGCACATGGTTTAGGCCATGCCAGTTCCCCGCACACTGGCGACCATATTGGGTTGCATCGAACTGCTGTCATTGCACGTATTGCATTGCATTGTGATGCAAATTGCCAATGCTGTGTTGGGCGCAAATACGACACATTGGATACACACCGTGTCATTGACTTGTTCGGTTCGAAATCTGTTGGGCGGGACCCGTGCCTTGGACCATCCATACTCATATTCACTTGCTGTTGGCACACCGTGTCGCGTTTCGCCATGGCCCCGCCAGCAACGCATGGGAATGTAAATTGCACGGGGACGCTCGACTTGGAAGCCGAATTCGACACGGAGCATGGTCGCCGCAAGGTTTTGGGACACTTGAAGGTGGCGGGGGTCCTCATGGTGTTTCCCCCGCGGGCAGGCTGTGCTTTGGACGGGGGCGGCAGCAGTCGCGCGTCAAATATGACTTTGTCTTTGCTGACAGCGGAACCTATCCCAGCAGTGTTTCGTGAGCCGCCCGCTCGTGGAAGTGCGAGCCCTGTCGATGGCACGCCCGGCGGCTACGGCCCTGAGCTCGCACCTGAAGGTCGCGCTGGTGAACGTGACGGCACGGACCTCCCCGTCAAGTCTGGTCAAGCACTTGATGGCAGCAGTGGCGCAAGCAGCTCCACGGGCATGGAAGACCCGATCAAAGTGCCCATTCTGGAGCATTGCGCCGAGGCCGCATCGACCGTAGTGGACGTGGACAGCATGGACTCCCAGATGTGCCCGCCCTTCCAGAGCCCCGTCGCCAAGCGCGCCAAGGTGGGCCCCTTCGTCGAGCGTGGCTCCGTCTCCCCAGAGCGGGCAGATTCGCCAGTGGTCAGCGTGGTTTCTGACAGCGGTGATCGGCGCCCCGCAGCGCCCGCAGATCCCCCAAGCCCCAGCGACAAGTGGAAGCCCATGCCGCCCCCGCACGAGGAGACTGAGATCGGGGGCCCCGCGGCTGACAGCGAGAAGCCCATGCTCGAGCAGCCAGTTCGCCAGTCCCCCTGCTGGAGAAAGAAGAGTACAGATCCTCCGAGTGGCGAGGAGTCCCAGAACCCGCTCATGGAGCAGCAGCTTGTGACCGCGCCCTCCTTGCCGCAGCAGCTCCGCGAGATCACCCCAGAGTTTGCCGATCAGAGCCAGCAGTCGCAGCAGTAGAGCGTGATACTGGGAGGACGGGGGAGGAGGATGAGGAGGAGATGTAAGGGGGCCCAACAAGAGGATGAGAAATACGCTATGCTGAGCGAGCAGGGCCAACGTGGTCCCCACGCCATGCTCGTAGATCGTTTGGATGCCCATGCAAGTTGAGAGATGCGAAACAAACTGGGGTCCAACAGTCGGCGCGCTCGAAATGCAAGCCGTGTCCAGGGCCCTATTGCTGCCCCTCGTTATCCCCATTCCGACCCCTCGCCCTACATGTGCACATCCCATGGCCGTTCCCTTGGTAAGCCTTACTCTAGCAATTGCCCTCTCATTCTCGGCGTCATCGCTCCCTCCCCATCCCCTGATATGTCCTTCATTCGCCTTGGTCCCCTCTTCGTGTTACCTTTCTTCTGCACCCTGCCCCCTGCCCCTGCATTACCCCCCGCCCTCCCGTTACCCTCCCCCCCATCCCTCGCCCCCTCCCCCATGCCCCTCGTCACCCCTACTCGAGATGCCCACTCTCGTCACGACCGCATTATGGCACAGGCATTGTTGATTACTTTGCGGGGTCCCCGAATTTAGGGTATGTCACCTTGCTCAGAGGAGTTAGATGCAACCCTGCATTGCACACGACGTTTGTGCGTTGGGGCACCGTGGGTAGGACACTTAGAGCAATGCGGTGTGACGGGGGACCGATGTTAGGGTGCACGTCATGGACACACACATTAAGGGCTACAGATTAGGGTGCACGCTTGGACTAGGGCTCCATATTAGATCTAGATTGGGACCCCAGGGTGGGGATCCAGATTCGGATAGCTCGGCTAGAGCACTCGGGGCAGGGCATATGGATTGGGGCACCTACACTAGGCAACCTTGTGATTAAGTGTACCATGGTACATCGGTGCGTTTGTGCAAAGCTGCCCTTAGCAACTGCGGTTTGAGGCGCCTCGGGCCACAATATTCGTGAGTGTCTCAGGCGAGAGCGTCACTTTGAAAAAGGTATTGCCCTCCACACGTGCAATAGTTGCAAGTTGGGCAACGTGCGCTGTTCGTCTCGCGAGCGTCTGCGGTGAGACCCCCGAGCCACCTTTGTTTCAGATAGGGGGTGAGTGGCATCGTGCGCACTGCAGCTATTTCAATCGAGCGATTGAAGGGCGTGCGATTCGCAACGGCACCAGCTCACAACCCACCCGCCCTCTGGCACAATGTCGAAGCGCGCCGAGGGCAAGCCGCCGCCCATGAGGGGTCCGCGGGGCTCCTCGGCTGGCGCAGCGGGCCCTGCCGCGCCCACTCCCGCCGCTTCCTCTGGCGGCGCTTCGCCCGCGAAGCGTCGGAGGCGCGTGTGTTGCTGTTTCTTGTGCGCCAAGACTTCCAAGGACGTCGGGCGCGCTCCGAATGGCCGCGTGACCCCCGCCGCCCTGCCCCCGCCCCGTCAGACGGGGGCTCGGGGCGAGGAGGAGGAATATAAGGGGGAGAGTAGAAGGAGGAGGACGATGGCGGGTGAGAGGGGGGAGGAGCAAGAGGGGGAGGGGGAGGCAGGGTTGGTTCGAGGAACGCCGAGGGGGGAGGACGGGGCGCCTTCCCGAGGAGAAGCCAATGGCAGCTCGCGAGGATGTGGGCCTGGAGAGGAACGAGTGGGACGTGGACATCTGCGCCGACTGCGTTGGCTGGGTCAGGACCCACACGCCAACCATGTCGGTCAGCGAGTTGGCGGGTGAGCTCGCGAACGACAAGGAGCTGGGCAAGGACATTGCGGACATCAATGACAAGAAAGACAACTTCGCTGGCAGGGGTCTCACGGTGACGGACGACATGAGCGTCCAAGTGGAGGTGTACGACGACTACGAGCTGCTTCGGTACCGGGACTTTGTCGATCTCTGCGGCAAGACGCCGAAGCAGGCTGGCGCCCTGCCCGCCCACGTCCCGACCGCGGACAACTTCTCGCAGAGCACGACCTTCTACCCGAACCCCTTGAACGCCAAGAAGCGCATGGGGGTGATCAGCAAGTTCGGCGTCAAAGTATCTGAGATGAAAATGAAACCCAGCATGCATTGCTTCACCAAGCAGCCTAGCCTCCTCATGAAGTACGCCGCGAGGAGTTTCCTCAAGAAGCACGCCGTCACCCTACTTGGTCGTCGGAAGCGCCTGGGGGGCAGCAGCGCCCAGGTGGCCGCCGAGCACGCCGCCGCGGACGCCGGGCTAGCCAGGTCGGGTTCGCTCGTGGCTGCTGAGGCGGGCAGCGCCGAGAAGGGTGCTTCCAAGGACGATGGCGATTCATTAATGCAGGAGTCGGACCGCGACGTCGATCAACCCGATGGCGACGATGACCCCGAGCGCACAGGCGGGGCGCATTCAATGGTCACGCCTGTGAAGGGCGCCACTCCCGTGACGGGCGCTCGCTCGTCCCCTAGCGCCGTCGTTTCTGAAGGATGCCAGGTCCAGGCCGAGGGCCCGACGCCGTGGAACAAGTACTTCGTGGGCGAGTGTCCTGCAGAGGGGACTGCCGAATTTTGGATCTGGAAGACCCCATTGAAAGGGGTCCTCGTTGGTCTCAAGGAGAAGCACCCTGTCAGCCAGATGAACATCCTCTTGCCGAAGCTCGACGCGCACTCGGCGAGGAAGCTGCGCCTCCACAAGGCTGCCATACAGCAGTGCCAGGAGATCGTGGACGGCTCGGCCCAGTCAATGCCTTACAACGAGTTCGCAGACAAAGTGAAGACCTTGGTGCCCTCGGTCGGGGAGTGGCCGCAAGAACATCACCGCGTGCTACTGGAGTGCACCCTGAGCCACCACATGGCGGAGTTCGCGAGGACGGGCAATGAGGTCCACGCCGAGAACGCCTTGGAAGTCGTAAAATTGTTCACGGTCGGCGAGGGGAAGGATGAGAGTTTCAACCCCCTGAAGCCCATGCTGGTCCAGAGCTCCCTGTCGGATTCCGAGCGGGCGGACTTCTTCGTCAATGAGGTGTTCGGCAGGAAGGTCGCTGAGTGGATCGAGGATGAGTTAAACGGGGACTCCCTTATCTCGACGTTTGCTCAGGTGGCCATCAAGGCGATGAAGATCCCAGAGGACGGCAACGTCGGCGAGAAGGCATGCTACGCGCTGCGGGCGGCAACTCGTACGCTGCAGGTGCTCTTGCATATAATTCACCCCTCGTTGGTGGACGGTGTGTCCCTCAAGGTGTACGACGACGCGGGCGCGATCTTGGAGGCGTCCGCGAAGACTGACGCGGCCTCGTCGGCGTGGCAGACCGTCGGGCTTGCGTGCGTCACCAGCCCGAGGTGGAATACTGGGCTCACGGAACTTGCTGGACAGAAGGACGCAATGAAAGAGGTTGGGCCGATAATTCAAGCAACCATCGACAGCCTCTCCAGTATCGTGGAGCCCACGGCTGCTAGCGCCAAGAAGATCGGTGACATCGTCGAGGACATCCCGCATTGCCATGCCCAAGGCGTGAAAGACCTCGCCGAGAAGTTGGAGTTCAAAGTCAACGAGAAGGCGTGCGAGCTCATTTCCGCGGCCGCCAAGGCCGCTGCTGGCCTCGGCGATTCAGGCAACAGCTCCGACCCGAGCAGCCTCGGCATTGAGGACTTGAACGCTTTCGTTGCTCTCGCGAGGAAGGTCACCCAGAACTGCGTGGAAACGGAGGCCTTCATTATCGCGAACAACGCCCTGAAGCTGACCAAGGAGAGCCTCGAGACGTCGCTCCGTGCGAAGAGCTTGAACGAGGCTCTGCAACAGTTCAACTTCGAAGATGCCCAGTCAGTGGCAAACGTGCTGGGTGCGTTCGGCGGCGTCGTCGCAGCGGCGCTCCAGGATGAGATTCGCGTGAGGGTCAAGGAGATTGTCGATTCGGTGATCGACTCACCTCGCGCCGCTGATGCCACGAACACGGTCAACCTCACTCCGGTGGTTTCGCTCGTCTCCGCGATGGTGCCATTTGTCCCAGTCGAGCACAGGATGACCTACCAGAACATCAACTCCGCGCTGAAGCTGTGCAAGGGCGTCAGTGCAGGTCTCGCTGCGTTGGAGGGCGTCGAGACGACCGTGACCTGCTACGCTGACAAGGATGTGCAGAGGCTCCTGAACGAACTCCAGCGGGAGCACCTGCGCCTGAAGAGTGGCACGACCAAGCTCGACAAGGCCCCGAAGGTCCTTGAGGCGTGCGAGCTCATGTCGCAGAAGGCTGCCGAGAAGAGTGCCAAGGTCGCGAGCGACATCAAGGCCACGACCGCAGACCAGATCCAGAGCATCATGAAGAAGGTCGCCTTCGCCATGGAGAATGACTCCTTCATCAAGATGACGAGCGTGATGATGGATGTCGAGTCCGTGGCCGACGTCAAGAAGCAGACGCCCAAGGAGTTCTTCGAGGTCGACGCCGACTCCATCGTGACGGCCGCCGTCATGATGAAGAAGCGCGTGGACGAGTACGGATCGTTTCTTCAGAGCTCCAAGCTCGGCGCCAACGAGTTCGCAGGCGATGCGAAGATCCTCTGTGACAGGGTGTTCACCATGATTGCCGTTCAGAAGATTCTGCGGCCGCTCATGGACCCGTCTGTGGCCAAGGATGAGGTCAAGTTGATGTTTGAGATGAAGTCGGTGCAGTCGTTCCTTCGTGAGCACAAAGTGAACGTTAAAGAGATGCACGCGGGCCTGGCTGCTGCGTGCGTGCAGGCACTGACTGCCTCGTGAACCAGCCGCGGTGCGAGGCGCGGCCCATGGGGGGGGGGGGGGGGATGGTGATAGGAGGGAGAAACTGAGTAAAAGGGGAGGTGGACTCTAAGACTTCTAAGATTCGCAGCTTGCTGTAGCCGCTGCAGCCGACATAAGGCCTTTTTTTCGAGGGCGAGCGGCATTGGATGCCGCGGTCGAACGGCAGTTTGATGAGGGGGGGGGGGGGGGGGAGTAAGATGATGCAGAATATGGGAGGAGGGACGTAGAGGATGGATCAGGGCGTGGAGGCGACGAGAAAGAGGACGGGAGGAGGAGGGCACAAGGGAGGAGAAAAGAGGTGCAGTGGCGAAATTGGTTGGAATTCCCACCCTCCTCCCTCCCATGCCCCTCCCGTCTCACCTCCACGGGCCCCCTCCTCCCTCGTCGTTCCTCTTGCTATCCATCCCCCGCCTTTCCACTGCAACCCATGCTGGTCCTCGTGCGTATCCTCAGCATCCGTCCTCACTCCCCCCTCTCCTTCCCCACCTCTTCCAACCAAGCCCTCATCTCGGGGTCCAGTGACTCAGATCGGGTAGGGGGGGTGCCATCGCAAAGGCGAGAGCGGCCTTGCTGCAGCTGGATATTGAAAAAGAGTTCCCCCCCTTGTCATGGTTGTTGTTCCGCCTCCTCCCCACCTCCCTCGCTGATCCCTCTCGCGCCTGCTCTCCTGCTCCTCTTCTTCTTTCTCCTTCCACCTGCTCGTTCTCTCCATCGTCCTAGTTCGACTCCCCAAATTCCCCATGGAACCTTCATCTGTCTCCCCTCGCCCTCTCGCCCGTCGCATCGCGGCGATCGACGGGGCGGTGGCGGCCTTCGACAACGAGGCCGCGGCCGACGCAATGGAGGAGGATGAGGAGGAGGAGGAGAGATGGAGCGGAAGGTTGCTTCTCCCCTCTCACCCCTCCTCGCGTCCACGCCTTTCTTTTGCTTGTCCCCCGATGGGACGGGGGCGGGGGAGGCTGGGCAGAGGAAGAGGGGAGGAGGAGGGTGAGGGAGGCGAGGAGACGGATAATGCGATGATGGTGGTATGTTTTGGCCAACTAAGTGCAAGGGCATCCGTGGGCATCGAAACTCCAACGTTGCTCGTCGTGCCCGCGCATCCCTGCTGCGAGTTTCGCGTTTACCTGGCCCGACGTCGGAGTTTTTCATGCTGTTCGGGAGGGGTCGTGCATGGTTTTCGCTAGGTGCGCGAAAGAGTACCAAGTAGGCGTTCGAGAGGGTTCCAGGTGCCTTTTCGGTTATATGAGCGTAAACCACTCCCTAGCGGACCGCAGACTTTCTAACGTAAGACCCCTTGCTGAACGTCGCCCAATTGACCTTCAAGGGATACATTTTTTTTTGTGGGATCCACGATCTCCGGAGAGCGGTCACGCCGGCGCGGCAGCGGTCGGGCAACAGCTCGGCCTCTGTTCCACGCCGTCGGCCTCTCGCGCTGTGTCGCAGGACGGAGGAGGAGGAGGAGGAGGAGGAGGAGGAGGAGGAGGAGGAGGAGGAGGAGGAGGAAGAGGCCGTCGGACGGAGGAGGAGGAGGAGGAGGAGGAGGAGGAGGAGGAGGAAGAGGAGGAGGAACAAAAATAAGGAGGAGGAGGAGGACGTGTTCGTTGGTCGTCGGGCGTGTTTGCTGGTTCTTGGGAGCTTTCCAGCCTCGGAACTCCGAGTTTCTGAAGAAGCGTCGGGGGGGCGTCACCCCCGCCGACAGTCCCACATCGGCCCCTCCGTCGCGGGCAGACACCGCGCGCCGAAGGCGCTCCGATCCCCGTCGCGGTGCGACGACGAGGCGAGGTTGACCCCCGCCGGTACCCCCCACGCCTATCAAAACAAACCTGGAGTATGCGTTCCAGCAGCTGCGTTCCAGCAGCTGCGCCTCGCCGAGGGCTTTCCGTTTTGTGCCCGGAGCGGCCCCAGCGGAGGCGGGAGACCCGAACCCCAATTGGGACGCGGGAGACCCGCGGCATGTCCCAGAAACCAGGGCATTCGGAGGAGGGGCGGTGTGGTGAGCCAGCGGGGATTCGAGTGGTCTGCACGCTCTTGGGGCTTTTTGGATCGTCCTGCGAGGCGACTGGGACCTCCCGGGCCTCAACAGCGACGAACACAATCGTATCCGCGCCCTCGCGGGCAGGATTCCGAGGCGCGATCCCGCGGATACGCGGTCGCACGGTTACGTTCCGCACGGAACATCGGCGAAAACAGGCCCCGCACCCGCGGGGTCGCGGCCCAGGGACCCGGCCCGCAAGGCCGTGGACACGGATAGGTGTTGCGTCCACGAGGGTTCCAAAACGGTGCGGTGACAGGCCGTGCAGCGACGTCGTGGTCTGTCACCGCACCGTTTTTGTTGGGTTTCCACCAGCGTGTGCCAACCCAGGGGTCTGCGCAGTCTTGGCTTGCCGTCGCCGCTCGTCCTCCGCTACTCGCCTCTCTGGCTCTCTGGTGCTCGCCTGTTTGTTCCAGGACGCGCCCTCGGCAGACGCCTTCTGCCGCGAGTTCGGCGACGCTGCGTGTCCTGGCGTCGCTCGGGCGTGTGCACTGTGTCTCGGCGAGGGCTATCGAGGAGTACCCTGGATCGTCTGGCAAAGCAAAAGCACGCGCGAAAACGTTGAAGGGCCGTCCGCGCGACGGCCAGGGCCTTCTGCCGCGAGCTCGGGGGCGCCGCGTGTTGCAGGCGCGCGTGGTGCGCTCCGTGCGGCCTTCTGCCGCCGGGGGGTCCAGAGTGCGGCGGCTCTGGTGGACCGCTGCGCATGCTTCGACGGGCGGGTGGGCCACAGCCATCTTCGGCCTCGCGCCCTGGGAGGAAGACAGAGGAGGCAGGCCTCCTCAGGAGGAGGAGGAGGAGGAGGAGGAGGAGGAGGAGGAGGAGGAGAAAAAGCAGGTTCGAAAGGCCCCCGGCATTCTGGGAAGCTTGCTGAGCCTTGTCCGACGCCACGGGGGGCTTCTCAGAAGGCTGCGGAAGCCCCGCCGCCGTCTGAGAAGAAGGTTTAGCCCCTCGCACTCCCCCCCCCATTCGGCGCGCCGCCGACACCTGCCTGCTGGAAACGGTGTGGCGGCCGTCCGCTGCTGGTGCAGAACAGATCTGCCTCCTGCACCCGTGCATCCTCCCTCTTCTTCCTCTCTCCCTGCCCGCTCGTCCGAACCGACTCCCCTCGCCTCGCTGGCGGGCTTCCTTTATCATCCGCCATCTCTTGCTCTTGGAGTCGGAGAAGGGATTGACCGAAGCATGCCAGCAACCGTTCGCCGGGCGCGGGGGCGGCGCCAGAAGCCACAGACCGGAGACGGCAGGCAGGCAGAGCGATGTCAGGAGCGGTTGTCGGCCGTGCCGAAGTGTCAGGCATGCGCGAGAGAATCGGGGGGTGCAGGGCTCGGACCTTGCTGCGCAACGAGATGAGGGCGGCCACGTTCATCCAGGCAGTCGTGAGGATGGTCATCCAGGTGGCCCTGCTTCGATTTACGGGGCCTGTGCGGACCGAGAGGAGGGTCGCTCGGAGAGGACAGCGAGGTGATGGTCACCTGGTAGACTGGCCTGCAGCACGTAAGGAGGTCGGGTTGGACTGATGGTGGTGTGTATATCGTCCACGTCTGCACATGTCCCTCGACTGATTGGTCATTCCCCAATCAGAACTTGCCTCTGTAGGGGCCCCAGCGGATTCATATAGTTAGGTGAAGTATCGCGCCGCTTTCGGCGGCACGCCCGGGTGCCCAGGTGCCCGAGTGCCCGATAGCCCCATAGCACTATGGCCTTCTAGCCTTATAGCCCTATAGTCCTAAAGCCCTACAGCCCTACAGCCCTAGAGCCCTACCGGCCTAATAGCCCTTTAGCCCTATAGCACTACAGCACTATGGCCTTATAGCCTCACTGCCATATATCCCTATAGCCATATAGCACTGGCTATGGCACTATAGCCTTATAGCCCTATAGCACTGCAGCCATATAGCCCTATGCCCCTATAGCCCCAGAGCCTTATAGCCCTATCGCCCTACAGCCCCATAGCCCTATGGCCCTAAAAAGACTGAGATTTTTTTTTTCTCTGGTAGCCGCGGCGCGATCGGCCAGGCACACGCCATGCGTTATTGAAACCCCCTTGCCCCCGGACGTTGGGAGACTAAAGCGCCCTCCTCTCTGCCTCCGCAGTCAGAGAGGTCCCGGTAACAGCTGCGGCAGCTGCGGCGGGGCTCGCCGTACATGCCACAGCGCGTTCAGAGCCCCGAATCATCAGGGGTAACTCGGGTCAGGGTGAACTCGGGTTCGTTTTTCGGGATTCCGAACCCGAGTTACTCCGGACCCGAGTTACCCCGGATAATTCGGGCGTCCAGAGCACCAAAATCATCAGGGGTAACTCGGGTCAGGGCTAACTCGGGTTCGTTTTACGGGATTCCAAACCCGAGTTACCCCGGACCCGAGTTACCCCGGATCACTCGGGCGCCCAGGCGCGTGGGCGCACGCCTCGCGTGCACAGGCCCTGGAGGGCTTCTTCACCCAACGCGCGATGAGTGCAGAGGTTTTTTCTCCCCGCGGGCGAACAGCTGCAGCGTCGTGTTCAAAGCTCCCAGGCGCCCTGAGGCAGTCATAAGGAAAAAAACACAGACGCAATTCATCGTCGATCCCCCGGGAAATATGGGACAATATGGGGAAATATGGGAAGTGAGGGGAGGGGGAGACGAAAGTCCCCAGACAATATATAAATATGGGGAATCCTGGGACTTGTGTCTCTTTGTTTGTGAGTCCCTGGGCCCCTTCAGACAGGCATACCCTTAAGTCGGGCGTTTCAATCTATAGGAGGAATCTCCCAAAGTAGTAAAACAATAACACGGGGACGATTGTATGACATTTGTTTGAACATTGTTGGTCACTTGTTGGGTAGGTTTTATTTTTCATCCAAAGTCCGCCTGTAAGGGGGACATGCCCGAGCTAAGCATACCCGACGGAAGACACGCTTGGCTTTTGGAGCTTCCTGTGCCCACACGTTCTCGCCCCGACTGCGGGCGGC